GTGCTGGGAGTGTAAATTAATATAGGCATAATGAAGAACAATATTCATGTTTCTCATACAAACTAAATACTTTTTATTTGGAAATTTGTTTTCTCATCATTCTTCCAGCAAATATTGGTCTTAGCAACTTGTCACTGTGACAAGTACAGGAGCCCACAATTTAAAGGAAGAAGAGATTATTTTGGCTCAGTCATTGTAGAGGCTTAAGTCCATATGCATCCTACAGAGGCGGTCAGTGGAGAGGAGAAACAGTCCATAATGAGGCAAGTAGGAATCAGCAAAGCTTCCTTCTTTCCCTTTTAGTTACATCCAGGGAACAAGCCTATTGGTTAGAGCCACACACAAACACATGGTGGTAAGTCCATCATTCTCACTCAGAATTAAGCAGAACCAAACAGTGGACTAATCCAGTGTCACCCACCAATGATCCAATCACCTCTCAAAAGTCCACCTGTGAGTGTGTGAGGCTGTGGGGAGTCACCTAGCTCTAAGCCATAACAATATTCATGAAGTGCATATTATATTAAAGCCAAATTTCTCCCCAGGTTGGTGGGCAATTTATCAAGAGAGCAGAAGAAAAATGATTATTTCTGAGAATGGAAGAATTTCTTGTTTCTTTTTTTTTCTCCACAGTACCACTTATTAAATTCTGTCCTCTGTTCATATACACACCTGCAAAAACTATACTGACATCAAACAACCAAAACAAAATATTTAGTATCTCCACATATAGTATAAGCCAAAGAATGTCTTGCACTAATATCATGGGATAGTATGTTTAGATAGCTATTCCCCAAATTAAATAAGATTTATGCAATTCATTTTTTTTTCGTATTTCAGGAAAGGGTCTACAGGGTGTTCAGGGTCTCACTACTACATCAGACTCATAGTGATCCACCAGTTTACAGCCTCCCAAGAGCTGGGATTACAGGCCGGGCCACTACGCCCAGTCTCAATTGAAGTCTCAGTGCACTCCAGAGGCAAGGCTGGCACAGCAGGCCTGGGGATCGAACCCCCAGTCCCTGAGCCTGCTTGCAGGCACTTTCATTCACTGAGCTATTTGGCCAGCCCACAGTTCATATTATAAAAACATTGTTCCTATTAGGAAATCATTTAGACTAACTATAATACTTGTAAGCATAACATTATTCTCTATACTCTATTTTGTGTTTGTAAAGTACTTGTGTATATGCAATATAAACTAGCTGCTTATTCTAGAAATAGTGAAAAGTGACACATAAAAATAAAACACAGGAGAAGGAAGACTAGTGACTTTAAACCGCATTTTTGAAAGTTATAGGGCCAGGAAGATAGCTCAAAGGCCAGGGAGATAGGTCAGTGGAATAAATGCCTACCTGAGAAGCGCAGGGTCCTGAGTTCAACCCTGGATACTGAAAAACAAAACAAAATATGGGTATATATATTTTTAAAAAGTTATGTTGAATGACTAGTGATAAAATTTTAATAACCATTTGCATAAATCACTATAGGGATTGGTATAATATGACATTCATATATTTTCAAACACAAGGCTTATTAAGATACCAAAGAAAGATTCACAAATCCATTGCAACACCAGCAAAGCAATCAAATGTTTGAATAATTAATATCATATTCTAGTTAAACTCAACAAAAATACAGATTTAACCTTTTTGAATTTAACAGGATTCAATGTGATTATCACCTAAAGTTCCAGATATTATGTAAGACTAGATAAAAACTGATAAATGACAAACATCATAAATGAGATAATGGTAATTGTCTTTATGAAACTATGTCATTGACTTCCACAGTTAAATTTGGTAGTTAGAACATACTTCTCAAAAGGTAGCGCTTATCAGCATCACCTGTTTTCCTTTCTGAAACACACATTCAGTGCCAGAACTCCAGAAATCCTAATTCTAGGTTTATTTCTGCTGTGGACTCATGCATCATAGTCGGAGTGGCACTGGCCTAGGATACTGATTATGATAAGAATACTAGGATGGACAGTTTGTTCTGCACCTGATACAAGTGTTAAACCAGCTATGGGGGAAGGGCTGCCCATGGTTTCCTTGATGTGCATGGTCATGTATTTCAGGTAAGAGACTGATGAAAAATCAAAGACTTCAGGTTTGTCTCAAATATGAGAAGGTTCATAACACAGATGTTTTCCAGACTTAGATCATTTATATTAATCCACACATGATGATCTTTAGAAACTGGACCCAAATTACTATTGAAATTGTTTAGTTCCAAACTTGAGTGACCAGACCCACCCTTTATCTATTGAGTGGGGGCAACTTTGTTTCGCAGATGCAGTGAGTAAAATGGACCAGACACTCCATCAGCTGTTCCGTCATAGTGCTTTTTAGTGGAATTACAGCATGCTGCAATATTTTTCTTTGCAACTTAAACTTTGAGCAAATCCAGACATCCGGAGAAGTTAAAGTGAAAAATCTGTTTTCTCTTGCTTTACCATTTGCCAAGTGAACCCTGTCAGACAGCACATTCTATACATTTTAAGTAACCAAAATTACCGTTAATGTGTTGGCAACATCTGTTAAAACACTCTTCATTCTGTGGCTTAAATGTACAGAGTAGGACTGGATTTGACAGTGTATCGAATGAGGCACAATGATGGTGGAGGACTTTGGTGTTACCTTAAAAACCGTAAGATTTTTTTTCTTGTCTTTTTTTCTTCTGTACAATACAACACAAAAGAGATTCTGTTCTCTTTGATAAGGAAAGAAACTTACAAACATCAACCAACCCTAAAGCTCCCTAAATTGACTGTCCCTGGAAAATATCATCAAGAAAATTCTCTAAAGAGTTTCTGTCACTTCTTTTCCAGCTCACTCAGTAATTGTAATTTTCTCCCATTCCTTTGAGAGTAAAGAATTTATGTTCTTAATAATTTGTGCAAATTTGTTCTTCATTGAACATTTTTACTATGAGCAATAATGTAAATTCTTACTTAGTCTCCTCCTAAGAACTCCCTAAGAACCTGTCTATAGCTGTTCACTTATTTGCAATAACTTAGGGAAGGAACGCTTCCCTTGTACTATTTTCCTTTCAGTCCCTGTTTGCTATTTAGAATTCAGATTTATGACAAATCCCTTCCCACTTCTTCCTTTTGTCTGCCAGGCTTCGGGTTGAAGCACAAAGGCAGCACACTGGCATCTGTAATCACATCAGTCCCCACATATCGCTTTCGCTGAGCAGATTCTGCAAGAGTGCAGACAGGCTTTCTTGAATGAATTCTGAGCACAGGTTTTCTCTCTCCACACCCTCCCCAAATGGGAATGTTGATTGATCTGTCACATGCTTGCTTACCTCGTTTGCATCTTCCTCTCAAATAAAGACTAGAATCGCCTTGCAGAGCAAGGTGCATCCACTGTGCGCTGAGTAGAAAATAACTTCACACACGTAATTTTGCCTTTATCAAGCATTTACATAAATGATACCCTCTGTGGTTAGGATCACTGGGCTGACTAGGATTGAGGGATTTCTGAAGTTGTGACAGTTTTAACTCAGTATTGGACTGTCAAGGGGCAGGTAGTCTAAGATAACCTAAATCTCAAAGTACAGAGAAGAACTGAAGTTTTGTTCCTGTTAAGAATTAGAATATTGGGAAAGTGCCACTTTTTGGTTTAAAAATAAAATGCTTCAAGACATCCATCTTAACTCTGAGGTAATCCTATAATTTATCCCTAGGTGATTTAAGAAGTGTTTACTTCTGGTCAGGTGCAACAAATACTAAAAATGAAGGCCAGTAAGTACTTTTACTTAAAAGGGAAAAATGAAGTTGTGATTGGTAATAAAATGCCAGCAGCAGAAAGAAAATATGGCCTGCTTCAATTACAATTAAGTAAACATTTATTTTATTTATATTTTATTTATGTCTCTCACTTAAGAAGTACCCTATTATATAATTCACAAATTCATCAAGAAATTCAAACAAATGCACTACTACATACATTTACAAACTACAGCCCTATAAAATAAGATACACATTTTTTTGGCTGATCTCAGAGCAAAAGTCTAAATGTCAAAGCTAATTCTATACATCAAATATATCCAAATGTTTCACTTTCTATTGTCCCCCTAACTTAATCAGCAGGAGTCCACAGGGAAGGACCCTGAGCATTAGACCCTGATCTTTTAACAGGTATATTCAGGAAGCTGGATTTGGGCAATGCCATAAAGACTTGATCATACTGAGGAAAATTACTTTAGGAAGCATTTTCTTGTGAGTATTTTTGGTGGACAGATCTTGAAGATATGTACCACCTTTTATTATAATATCAAATAGGAAACATTTGAATTATATAATCTTCCAAATTTCCATTCAGTCCTAGCTTTTCTTAATTTTGTTTTTAAAACACATTTTTACATTCTCTAATTTAGCTGGTTAAGGGAGAATCGGAAGGTAGAAGTCTAAGGCAGAAAATAGGTCAAATGATTCAGAAAAAATGGCATGAAACACAATAAATTTTATTTTAGGTAATTAATCTTAGATTGCAGTATGCCTTTCAAAGAGATCAGGTCAAAAAGCCATTTATAAGAACAGTACCTCCCCAGCGGCATACTATATAGGGATCAAAAATTACCTGTGTAAATCATGCACAAAAAGAATAAAGTAAAAATTTGATTCAATTTAAGAACAAGGTAAGTATTTCCAGTAATATTCATCTTTCATCAGAAAAGCTTATATTTAGGACAGCAGGATAGAGGTTATATACGATTTCTTTAAATACGTTCTAGGTTAACTTTTGGAAATGTGATAGATGCTTTAGCCATATCGCATAGAAATCTCATCAAAGAAGGAAAGTTGCTAAGGCTGGATATTTAGACAAAGTGACATGGGTGAGTTAAAAAATCATGTCACCCTGAATTTAGCCCTTTCAGCCAACAATAAAAATTTTTGATATCAATATAAAAATACAGTATACTGCACTTGGGCTTAGAAGTTGTCTTCCTGTGGGGTGTTTTCAGACAGACTTTGTTTGTGCTTGTAGGGTGCTGTGATCACCCCAACAATGGACCATCCGATGTCAATGCAGCCAACAAACATGATGGGGCCCCTGACGCAGCAGATGAATCACCTTTCATTGGGCACAACGGGAACGGTGAGCTGAAGAGTTTGTTTTGCTTTGTCTTAGTGGGTTTTAATAAGGTCCATCACGCTCTATTAGCTGATACCGCTGGCTCTGTATCCCTGCCTAACTGGCCAGTGAGAATGTGCTGGGCATGGATGTCAGCTTCCGGGAAATATCTGAGGGTTCTATAGTGCAGCATGTAAATACCAGATGCTTTCAATATTAGGGCATAAAGCACGAGATCTGCTGGGTTTTTTTTTTTGGGGGGGGGAAGGTGTCCTTTTGCACACATGCACAATTAGACCCAGGGGTGGTATTCTTTAGCCTGGTTTCTTTTCCCAGTTGCTCACCTATGCAGCTAGTATAATATCCAGTTTCTCCACAAGGGGCAGCTGTGTCTGTAACTGACAGAAGGGCTTTTTATTTGCTTTCAATATTTAAAATTATAAATGGTAATTGAGAGCTTGGCAGAATTCAGTTCTTTTGATGTTTTTCTTTGATATGTTGACATAGATGGTACTAAAAAAACGAAAGTGACTCTAATGAGCCTAATCTCCTTCATTAGGATGGAGAAGTGCTGAATAGTCTTATTTCTACTTAGAAACAAAAGTGCACTGAAAAAAGCCTCTTGTCACCTTGATTTTATATCAGTGACATATTTAAAATTGTGGGAAAATGTTACTTTTTTAAAAACACTTTAAAAGTAATTTAAAAATTATTCAAGACGAATATCTACTACAGCTTTGCTAAAACTTTATTGCTATTCCTGAGAACATCATGTGACACCAGGAATAGCAGTTTTGTCTCTCTTAAACTTTAATGCCAATTGTCTTGGCATTTTTAAGATGTACCAAAAAAATCTATATTTTTGTTTCTTCTGAATGATGCAGCTTAGAGAATGTAGAAGAAACACTGGACTAAAAATCAAGAATCCTAATTTTAAATCTTGATTAAACCTTGTGGTTTTTATCTGGCCTGGGAACAATGGCATCTTCTTATCTCAGTGAAGTTTCAATATTGATCTTGATATGGCCCCCAATTATGTGATTTTACATGTCATTCTACTTTTCTTGACATGATCTACAAATATCTGTGTATGATGTGCACACTAACTGTGAATGGGAGATTTTGTCTTCTATCAGTGACTAGCTTGCTGAGTAGAGAATATGGATTTGTAGACTTTGTAGAATATCAGAAGTTTGTGACATCTCTCCTGAGGCCTCAGTAAATCACCCTACATGGGAAGGAATTCACACTATTAATGGAAAGAGTCACAGAGTTGCAATAAAGAAACTAGGTTTTATTGATAAAGCACTTCTGTCTAAGGCTTCAGCTGCTGAACACATAGAAAGCTACTGATGTCTGAAACCTTGGACTGATCAAATGATTTCTTATGTTTCTGACCTTGAGCCTTAGAAGTCATGATTAAGATTGGTTGGCTGTAAGTTCGAGACCAGCCTAGGAATACTAAAGTGAGCACAAGACGAGCCCAAGTTCCACAGCAAGATTCTGTCTCAAAAAATCAAACAAAAAATTTACATTTATTTATAACGGAGGTATAGGTAATTTTCATCAGGGAGAGGATTTGAAGATAATAGTTTTGTTCTTGGTGTTCAAGGATTATTTGTAGCCACCATGCAATGAAAAAAGCAATTAATACTAAGCAGGCTTGAATTCAATCATGCTCCCAGTGGAGGTTGCCCTTCACAACATCAAGCTCCTGTCCTTCAATAATTATGAATTTTGAATGAATGAGGTAGGAAATTCTCCTGGCAAAGTGGAATATAACAGAGGCAGTTAAAATGTGAAGCACAGAAAGAAAACTTTCATAAGTTTTACATTTTTGAGTCAAAAGCAAAGCCAGAACCTGCTAATGTTTAAGTGTGTGAACAAGGAAAAATTCAACAGTTAGGTTGAGTATATGACTCGATCTTTCAGGAAATTGAAGAATAATGTAAATGAGACTGAACAAGGTCAAAATTGTAGTTGATTCATATATATATATATATATATATATATATATATATTCAATTATGTATATATGTATAATTGTGTATTTGAGCATTTTAAGTAAGAATAAGTTATGTGGGAGTATGACTTGTACTCATCTGGTAATAACCAGTAATAATAATTAATAATAATAATAATAATAATTCTATAATGATAAATACCACTTCCTTTCTTAGAGATTTTTGCTTCTTTCATTGTTTTCTCCCTTTAACTTTGCAAATAAATAATGTTTTCATACAATATAAGTCTCATATAATTTTGCGAAATGTTAAAAATTTAATGAAGTTCTGGATAGGCAGAGAGAACACTTTTTAGTCTGTTTATTTATTAAACAAAACATGATAGAGTGTGCTTAATGATCTGAATGCTGACTTTTTCCTTCCTTAATCTGTCACTCTAGTACTTGGACGTAATGTGATAGATTTATTTTATCTGAATTTTTGAGTGGCATTTGGAGTGACTATTAAGTCATTGAAGTTGTTATTGAAACTTGAGTTTTCCCACCTGCTTCTATCTTTCTAATATTTCCTATGATAGGAAAAGCAACCTGATGTTATGGAAAGTCCAGGGACTCTGTAAACAAACTAGAGTTTAAAGTCTGGCTCTATTTCTTTATTGTTATGTATGTTTAAATTAGTTATTTAACTTCCTTAAACCTTCACTTCTTTTTATAAAATTAAGAATATTATTTTATATACTCCAGTATGTTGTGTTAAATGAAATGATATCCACAGCACACCTAACATAGTGTGTAGTGTATCCTGTAGGCACTTATCAAATGAAGAACCCCTAACTCTGTAGCTCCAATGGCTTCTAACTGGTGGGAATCTAGCTCAAATAGTACCTTATTAAAATCACATAGCACCAAATAGCTCATCAGATTAAAGCTCCTGCAAGCAGGCCCAGGGCCCAGAGGTTTGATCCCCGGGCCTGCCATGCCAGCGCAGACCCTGAGGCACACTGAGTCAGCAATTGAGACTGGGTGTGATGGCACACACCTATAATCTCTGCACTTGGGAGGCTGTAAACAGGTGGATCATTATGAGTCTGATCTAGTAGTGAGTCCCTGAACACTCTGTGAACTCTTCCCTAAAATACAAAAAAAAAAAAAAAAAAAGAAAAAAGAAAAAAGAAAGAAGGAAAAGAAAAGAAAAAGAAAAAACACACACAGAACAACTCTTTTACTTTCTCTATGTCAGAGAATGTAATTAATTTTTAAAAACGTTTCCACTTTGTTTAAGTTGCTATAAAACTCATTTAGGATTGCAAAGGCAAATGTCTACAATCTACCTAGGTTACATTAATGAATGAAGTTGGCTGAATTCAAATGGATACCTCAAAATAGGAAAACACATGCTCTGTGTTTTTCTATATTATACATGTGAACATTTCGTACAAATGTACATGGTATTGAAAATATATGTTAAAGTTATTTCCAATGCAGTTAAAAGTAAAATATCTGCCTGAGTTTGGACAAACAGTAGGGAAAGGTGGTGTTTTGGGCAGACTGGAATAGAGATACCTCATCTAGAGAGGGCAGCCAGCCGCCACTGAAATCCAAGCAGCTATTGCCACATGGGTGTACAGACCCAGGGTGGTCATACCTTCCAAGTTTTCAAGGTAATCTGACTTTGGATTTCCATGCAATATTTTCCTGAAATTGAATATTGGGGCCCAATTTGACCCCCAAAGCTCCATGTGAGTGACTGTGACACAAGGTTTTCCTCTAATTTCTCTGGCCATTCCTTTTCCCTTTCTTATATTCACTAAACCACGGTTTCAGATTAACCGGTCTCCATGGTTTCCTTTAGGGAGCTAATCCACTTTCATGGTTTTAAATCTCACCTTTCACACTGAGGATTCCTCTATTGGAGTCCTCCCTGCTAACCTCATCTTAGAATGACTCATTTCCCAACTATTTGCTCTCTCCATATAAATTTCCCTCCAGTTTCTCAAAGTCAGCCTGACCAGAGCTAAGCTCAGGAGTTTCCCTTAGCTTCCTTATAACTTAATTCTTTCCCTCTCGTGTGTTCCTACACCCTGTTTTCTTTCAAGCTAATGCCATAATCATTTGCATGTAGCCAAACTGCATTCATGCACCAACTCAACGTAGATGTTCTCTTCTCCCTCACCATCGCATAGAATATTTAAATCCAACTGACTGTGTCTTACAGACACTGGTTTTGCCAGGTACATTCTGTCTTCCACAGTTCCAGGGACTCTGCCCTGAGCCTTATGTGCTTCGTGTCAGTAAGTCTCCCAACTGCACTTTCTTGTATTCAGTCTCCCAGTCTTCTCCCACTCATTCTGTACCACGTGACCATTGCCATGCTAGCCAAAGATGACATAGTGAGGACTCTCCTGTTCAGAAATCTTTGGAGACTTTCTGAAAGCCAAATTTACTGAAATTCTGCAAAGAAAGGTTTAATCAGTGATAACAAAGATAAAGACAGGAAATTCAGCTTCAAGAAGCGTGGGTTCCCAGGACAGAACACAGGAAAATCCAGTGCATAACTTTATGGTGTAGTTAAAGATCATGGGTATTAAGAGGTGGAGCTTGACTCAGTTTGTTTCTTTTTTAAAAGAAAGACTAAGTTATAGCATATGTACCACTTTCCTAATTAAGAGCCCTAGCTAAAGGAATTGTGTTGAGCCAAAAGCTCTTTTATATTTAATCTTCATAAAAGCAGATGTATTTCATATCACATTACCCCCCAGTTTGAAATTGATAGCTTGTCGTTTAATTAAGCACTCTGTATAATTTTCATTTAAAATGTTTATTGTTCAATTTTCTACCTAGTTTTAGGCTAGACAAACCTGTCGGCCTTAAAATAAATGAGTTCTATGTAAGCATTGTAACTTGTATTTCATGGCTCTGCTGACCTTGGTGAATTTTTCTAGCTTGATCTGCCTTGGTTTATTTTTGTCACAGGATTCCCTTGACAGAAGCAACCCTGTTATCCATAATTTCTTATCACCTTAAGTGTAAGCTTTAGCAGAAGCCACAAGGGACCTTGCTGTGTTCTGAGACTCCTCCAAATTGCATGACAGTCCTGTGTGACAAGTTTCTTATCTCCCTTTCATTTGTTCAGTTGAGTTGCTCCTCATCAGTGGCTTACAATGTCACCCAAATCTTTGGAAACAAATAAAAAGCTTTTGTTCTGAAGCCTCTTTATCTGCAGTTAGTGCTGTATTCTCCAAGCCACTGGTGATTTGTGACATCACTGGATTCCCATGGCGCTGCCGTAACCCACTCAGAAAAGTAGTCTTGTAATTTCCCTCCATTGTGCACCACAGTTCTCTCAGGTCTGCCGTCACAACTAATCTTTACTGTTCTAAAATATGATGATACCGAGTGAAAATCTGAATTATTCACTCTGCTTAGATATTGTCTTTTTACTTACCATTACTAGGTATCAATTTTTTAAAAGTAATTGTTTATCAGTATAATTGGATATATATAATGATCATATTCATCACAGGAATTTGACCTATGCATGATATATTTTCATTCTTTTTTTCCCATTTCCCCCCTCCATTCAACCACTCTTCCCTTTCTTGTTTACAAAAGCTTTGTTTCTATTTTATCTTTCTCTCATTTTTTCCCTTCCTTCTCCATGTAAGCATTAAGATGGAAATTATAAAAGCAACAAAATATTAGATTCATGATTCAATACATAGTATCATAAATGATGTTACTTTTCCTTAAATTTTGTTTCAGAAAAAAAAAAAATCCAGCTAATTGTAAATGGTAAAACAAAAGAAATATAGGTTAAAAAGCAATAGTTTTTTTTAAAAAAATTGCTCAATCTTATATCAAAATAACAGACTTTTGAAGAGTAACCTTAAAATATAAAATTCAGGAGGCTTTATACTAATGTCTGTTAAGTAAATCTTAAAGCATTGATGTTTCAAATAGAGACTGCATAATCAAATTAATTAGCAACTGAATAAAAATTCCTAATACATAAAATGCCCAAAATATGCGCAAGTCATCCGTAAGAAGGGGAACAGAATGTTGCAGAATATATATAAAGTTATAACAAAAGATGGAAACTACAAGTAACCCATTAACATATCCCACCAAATAAAGTCAAGTCATCACACTAATGCAAACTTCTGAGGATGTTGTTCACAACCAAGCATCTTCAAACAATGGTTGTATGACAGGAGTGACCTATGCCTCTCCCCAGCACTGGTTATAGGACAGCGAAGGAGGCAGTCAAAACAATTCAGAACATTTACCCTGGCAGAAAAAACAGCTACAGACTTGCACAGATACTTGATTAAAATACTCCAGAATAACAAAGCCTTTGTGCTTCAAAAGTACTCGATACTGTTCTCCACAATGTGTGACGAGAAGAAAAATTTAACAAATCATAAAGTATCCATCAATTGAAATGTAAAACAGCCTTTAACTATAACAGTATAAATCGATTAGGGCAGAAGTAGTTTCAAATGTTATATAAAAAATGAAAGAAAACTTGTATGTGTGGATATAATGCCCACTGTGGAAAATAAAATGTATAAGTAATGGTGTAAAGAAATACAAAGCAAGTATAATCATTTTAAAGTAAGTTATCTGAGGTAATTTTTTTTTTATTTTTAACATTATACTTCTATATTCTCCAACTATTCAGCCATCAATATTATTTTCTTATGATTATTTCCTTTTAAATTTTATGAGTATACTTTTGGAAACTTATCAAAGGTGTGGTGTCAAAATTAATGATTATCTTTTTTTTTTTTTTTCTTTCTGGTGGTTTGTCTACTTTATACTGGCAATATGTGATTGCTATTTTCTCAAAAGGTAGGACTTACTACCAGTATTAACAAAATAATTAGATACCATATAAATGATGCTGTTGCTTCTAAATTGGGGAATTATACTCAATCCACTAGTTCAGTGAACTTGTTGAGAAATGTAAGAACTCATGATTATGCTTTTGGTTGCGTTTGGCTACTCTGGTCAGTGTTTTCTGTTGTCCACATGTTCTGCAATGTTTAAATTCTTATTTACCTTCCCATGTGTCTTTTACTCTGGAGAATGATTAATGCTATCCTTTTGTGGCAGGAGATGAAACTAAGAAGTTTGTGGTGGTCCAAAAGTTTTTAAATGGGTTGAAAAATAAATTCAGGGCATTGGCTTGCAAAATAGAATCCATTATTAAAAAGGGTTCAAACAACTATGGTGGGGGCAGTTTATTTGCATGTGAAACAAAACCAGAAGTTTTCCTCCTTTAAAAGGGGTTTTAAGGGTACAGCTCTGTCCTCCTTTCCCATTTTAACAATCCCTTGCTAAGTAAGATATGTTGAGCCAAATCTTCATTTTTTATCTTCAAAACCATGGATATATTTGGTTCCCCATGAACCTAAATTTTTCAAAGATTGCCATGCAATTTGATAATGCTTTCCTAAAATATGTCACCTCTGGTGTTAGGAGACATTGGAAAAAGAAAGGCATAGTCTGTTCATTAAGTTGTGGTCTATGAATTTCTGGTCCACAGTGTCAACACAGAAATCTTCTCTGTGTAGAACAGAGAAACGCCTCAGCTTTGGGTCCCAGACAGCCATATGAAGCACAGCAGCTAACAGTGCCACTGGGGCTGGAAGTTGCACTTCCCACCTCATACAATATGAAAATGTACAAAGTTTTTATTTATCTCCTTCAAATTATCATTCTTCTTTTCATTCCTTGGGACTTCCCTTTATGTCATGCTTTGAGCCTCCTCCAGACAGGCTGCCTGTAGTAGTTTGTGTCAGCCTGAGAGAGTAAACCTTTCTCACTGATTCCCTAAGAAAGAGAACAGACAGAAGATTGTCATGTTCCAGGACAGCAGTGTCCCAGCAGATTATACTGACCTGACATCAGGTATGACATGGTGCTAGTGGGAGCCATGGTGTCTATCAAACTTGAGCATCAACTATAACTAGAGTGACAGTGCCTTGAACGCTTGAAAGTAGGGATTTAGGTGACCGTAAGACATGCAACGGGCCTTTCTAAAGCTAAGATTCTGTTTTATTTTCTTTTGTACTTCATTGCATTCTTTCTCATGCTCTTTTCATTCAAAGATTCAATCCCAAGACAGGATTATGATACTTCACCAGCTGTTGTGTCAGGTAGGAAAATTCTAATTCCTTTAAGACTTGATTGGAGGGGAGAGATGGAGGTTGCCTGGTTTTTGCCAAAACTCTTTAAAGCAGTGATTCTCAATAGCAGTGGGTATGGGAAATTTGAATTTCATTTTGGCGCGGGGCATATGTGTTGTTTTTAAAGTAAAAAAAAAAAAAAGAGCTCTAAGATATTTTGTTTATCAAGGATACACAAAAGAGAGAGTCTATATTTTGTATATCAGTGATTCTTAATGTTAGACAAGGTCATCACGATTTCTGAAAAGTGACATAAGTATGTTTAGCAAAAGAATCACCGATTAATAAAAATAAATTGAGAAGCACTGCTTTATAGACCATAATTATTCAAAAGTTAAACAGTCATCCCATTTTGCTTACTTGGCACTCAGCACAGGGTCTGACATATAGTAGGTACTCAGTATAACTATTTGTTGAATGAATTAAAACTTCAAATTTGTTCCAAAAATGACAATTTGTTTATGAGAGTAAATCTACCAATATAATATTTGTACAACAACATGACAGAGGTTGCTTTGAGAATACATTAGGGATGTCAGAATTTTAACTAGCAAATTAAAACTTCCTAGAGTAGAGCGGTATGGTTTGTAACAGGTGTTTGTTTGCGAATAGGCTTGTTTCTATTTTAAACTGTGTGGACCTGTGTATTCATCTTAATTTGGAATAATTTTGATTTCTTGCAAAGAGTAAAATGAGTACAACTGTTCATTTATGTTGATGTTTTGAGCTAAATAAAATATTGGCAGTCTGAAGTGATTTGAAATCATTGATCCACTGACATGTTAGATGGCAAGAACATAAATTCAAACTCAGAAGAGCATTAAAGATACAGAGCAAAAAAAAAAAAAAAAATGTCCAGAAGTAGAGTGAGAGGAGTCCGCAGGACAGCCACAGGGGCCAGAAGACAGGGGATTCCCAGTGAGAGCATCCTGCTCTTGGGCACTCAGCTTGCCCCCCCCCCAGCATGCGAGGGGTGACCTCTGTTGTGTATCTTGTGAACTTGTCTAGTGATGCACGTGGGTAAATTTTTGGAATGTCCCCACTGAAAAAATAATTGCTTTGTTTTTAGCTGTGAAGTCACGTCAGTCCTTTGGATGATGTCTATACATTTCTGTTACTTAAAATATCGCAATCTTTCTCCAAAGTATCTGACCTACGAATTCTGGATGTGCCATTTTTATTTAAGATGTGGAGGATCCAGGAGGTGACTGTCTGACTGGTTAGGCTTCTATTTTGTTTGACATGTAGCATTTTTATTTAACTAATAGCATCTATTCTTGATTATTTACCAGTGTTAATATTAAATAGCACAATCTGGAACGCTCTACTATGTATCCTGGTTTCACTCTTTCAAGAATATGATTCAAAAAGCAAAGCTTATTATGTACACCTTGTACCAAGTGCTACCAAGTCAACTGAAACCCTGGTTAGAAACTATAACTCTGAAGATCTCATCTGATTTAATAGACTCTAGTCCTTGAAAAATTTTGAGCATATAAGTGGTTAGATAAAAATAGTTTAACAAATTTAATATAATAGTTTTGTGTGAGCTTGATGAAAATGATAAAGAATATCGCAGAGAAAAGTCAGAAGCCCAGATATGACACATTTACTTTAAAAACATGCTGTCTTCCCGTAAGTGGAATACAAAAGAAGGAACCAATATAGCATTACTATGAAAAATAATGTGCTGAATTATTTTATAGATGTCTTCTCTACATAAGAGTGGCTTTGTAGCTTGACCTATGTAATAACTTGTACAGATTTTTTTTGTTTATCTCTAAAGAGAAACATGCTTACCATTCTACAATGTCTTTTAAGTGACTGGTGCAATAAGAGTGCAATCAGAGATGTTTGTAAAATTGCATGACTTTTACCCAGCCATACCTGAAAAATGAACTAGCTACTGTAATATCTCCTTCAAAGCTATCCTAAAATACCAATATTGAAAAATTCAAATATACAATTATTTTCCAGCATAGGAACCAACTGGATTTGCTTTAATTTATTAATGTTGAAGATTTTTCTTCATAATTGACAAGATATAACCCAAACTAATTCATTCAATCAATAGGTCAAACATCTATTGAGCATATTTTAGACAGTAGATACTATACTCTAATGATGGACATAGAAGTTTGGGTTGAAAATAATCCTTGGCAAACATTGTGTGGTCTAATTTAACATACGAATGATATTCAAAGTACGAGGTACAAAGTTGAAATTCTCAGAAATAAAGTGAATTCTGAGCTGGATTAGGAAAAGTGAATCTGAGCTCACCAAGTAGACAAGAGTGGAAAAGGTCTACTAGGGATAGTACAGGACTTGCAGACTCTGAGGAACAGGAAGGAGTATGCAGGGGATTAAATCGCAGCAAGTCAATTAATATTATACAGGCAAAATCAGATCAGTACAAACTGATTTGGAGTGAGAACACTTTTTTTCTTTGAGGGACTCTTCATCTTGTTATTTTACTTGTTAAAAAGTACATTATGGAAGTATTGTAAGTGGTTTATTGTGCCAAGTGCCAGGGATGCCACTTTCTTCTAATGATTTAGGAAGTTAGGATGAACAGGTTTCTACCACACAGTGGCATGAGTACCTCAATTATCATGAGGACTAAGTGTGTTCAGTTGTAATTTAGATGCCTAATTATAGAAGCTGCTTATGCCATTTACTAATTGTGGAAACCAGAGAATATTATTTCATTTCTCTGCAGTTTATATTACTTCTCTGATGAAAAAAATCGCAAGTTTTACCTAAGTATCAGATGTTAAGGAGGGATAAATTACAATACCTAAGATGCTTAAATAGATCCCTGCATAAAATTAGAGTTCAAATATTATTAGCTACATCTATGTTAATCTTTATTCATATGAGCATTGCAACAGCACAAAGGAAGAACAATTATCTTTACGAGGAGAGTTCAGAGACGGAGTCCCTGTTGAATTCTCTAAACATAGGCATAAGGATACATGGATACTGGGTAAGTTGAAAATATCTTAGAGGGGACAATGCATGACCAAGGAGGCAGCATGTCTGACAGGTTATATGAACAAGATATGCCAAATTGAGGGAGCTGGGCTGGGGGAATAGTTCAGCAGTCTTAGCGCCTGCTGTGCAATCGCAAGGACTTGGGTTTGATCCCCAGAACTGCGTGCTGTGCTGGCCCTGAAACCCCATGCCTGCCATGCTGGCTACTGAAACAAGGCATGGTGGTGCACACCTGTGATCTCAGAGCTGGAGGGGCTGAGGCAGAAAGATCACTATGAGTCTAAGATGTATAGCGAGATCTTATACCAAATAAATAAATAAATAAATAAGTAAATAAATGATTTTTTGAAAGTTTTCAAATTAAGGGAGCTACAGGTGGTTAAATAGTACAAGGATATGCACAGAGAAAAAAAGAGGAGAGAAAATGAATTTAAACTTGTGATGAAAAGCAGCAACGCCACCATGCATAGTTGCTTAAACTCTGTCACTTATGACCCTGAAAAACAATGTTTGATGATGGAAAGTGACATAATAAATCTGGGTATCATGTGGAGAATGCAGGGAAGAAAGACCAAAGTAGAAAAGAGAAATACTGAACACAACAATTTAAAGAAGTTACAGTGGCTTGGACTCGAGTCATGGGAAGTTAAATCTAAGACAGATAGCACAAAAGGCTGGTAAACAACTGAATGTCAAGACAGGGAGACATACAATTAAACAACTCATGAACACTTAATGACTGAAAGAGTGTTTTTTTTTTTTCAATGAAAGGTTTGAGGTACTGTCTGTCAGGATTTGAACCATGGAAAGAAAGATCAGTCCCCCCCCCACCAAAGAAAATGAAAACAAAGGCTGAATTCTGCCTCAAACATGTTTGTTGAGTTCGAGATACTTGTGGTCCTTGCAAATGGAAATTCATTTGTTTGTGTGCCTGAACCCAGATGACATCTCTGACCTGGAGAGTTTTGGGGGATTCCGTGATGAAATTAAGCTGTATTACCCAGAGAATGTGGTCAGAGCCAAGCAAGGAATATATTATATTAAAGATAAGTGTCGGAAAAGTGAGTTTAACATAAAGATTGTAAGAAACACCACAGGTATGTGAGGAGAAAGGAGAGGATAAGGTTTCCAACGAGGACACTAGTGACAGGAGTCCTGACAATGAGCCATTGGATTTTGCTCTAGTTACTTTTCTCATTGCTAACACAAAAATAGCTGATTTCCAAATTTAAAGGAGGAGAGTTTCACTGTATCCCCCAGTTCATGGAGGTTTAGTTCATACTTGGCTGGCTCCAGGACGGGTTGACATAACAGAGGGGCATCACAGAGTAGGCACCAAGCAGCAAGCAACAAGCAAGGTCCCTCTTTCTGCCCTCTGTAGTTCAACCAGCCTACCCAGGCTTAGATGGGTAACACTCACAGCTGGAGTGGGACATCCTTAATTCTGCCCAGAACTAGGTGACCTCAATCAAGGAAATAATTTAGTAGTCACACATCCTTGATCCCAGCATCAGACACTCCAGATCCAGCCACCTCAAAAAAATCTCAACTGTGACCTCATGAGGCAGCAGACACAAGCCATGATTTGCTATTCTGAGTCTTTTCTGTTCTAATATGAATTTTAGGCTGGTTTTCTCTAGTTCTCTGAGGAATTCTGCTACCATTTTGATAATTTAAATCTATGTTCTAGTTTTGAAAGTGTGCCCATTTTGACCATATTCTTTCTTCTCATCCAGGCAGAGGGATATCTTTCCATCTTCTGATACCTTCTTCTTCAATCTCTTTTTTCAGAGAATTGTAGTTTTAGTTGCAGAACTCTTTCACTCCTTGGTTAGGTTAATTCTTCCAGTACGTAATTTTTCTTGATGCCATTGTAGATTGTGTTTTTTGTAATATCTTTCTCAGTGAGTTTGTTCCTGGTATACATAAGTGCTATTGCTTATTTTGCTGATTTTTGCATCCTGCTGCATTCCTGA